AGCATCATCATCATCATCAACTTTATCAACGTCATCATCATCAACATCACCAATGTCATCATCATCATCAACATTATCATCAAAAACATCATAAATTATCATTATCATCAGCAGCAGCAGCAATATCATCATCATCATCTTCATCATCATCATCATCATCATCTTCGTCATCATCATCAGCAATGTCCTCATCATCCACATCATCATCCTCATCATCATCGTCATCATAATCATAATCATCACGTTCATCATCATCATCATCATCATCATCAACATCATCATCAATCTCAAAACCATCATCATCATAATCGTGATCATCATGATCATGATCATCACCATCATCAGCATCATCATCATCATCATCATCATCATCATCATCATCATCTTCATCATCATCAACATCATCATCAACATCGAGAACATCATCATCATCATCATCATCAACATCACCAGCGTCATCATCATCTTCGTCACAATCATCATCTTCACAAACACCAAAAATAACATCATCATCAATATCATCAGCAATATCAACATCTTTTCATCGTCATCATCATCATCGTCGTCATCATCATCATCAGCAAATTCATCATCCTCATCCTCGTGTTAAGCATCATCATCATCATTATCATCATCGTCATCATCATCATCATTACCTTCATCATAATCGTCAACATCATCAACATGATGCATGTCATAATTATCATCATCATCATTATCGTCATGATCATCATCATCACCATCTTCATCCTCCTCCTCATCATCATCATCACCAACTTCATCCTCATCATCATCATCATCAACATCATCAACATCATCATTATCAGCATCACCAACACCATCATCATCATCATCACAAACATCATAAAATATAATCATCATCATCATGATCATCATCATCATCACCATCATCATCATCATTCAAATCATAATCATCATCCCAATCGTCATCATCATCAACATCATCATCATCATCCTCATCATCATTATCATCATAATCAGCATCATCCGAATCATCACCATCATCAACATCATCATCATCATCATCATCATCATCATCATCATCATCATCATCACCCGGATCATCATCATCATCATAATCATCATCATCATCATCATCATTCTAAGCATGATCATCATCATCAACTTTATCAACGTCATCATCATCAACATCACCAATGTCATCATCATCATCATCATTATCATCAAAAACATCATAAATTATCATTATCATCATCAGCAGCAGCAATATCATCATCATCATCTTCATCGTCATCATCATCATCATCATCATCAGCAATGTCATCATCATCCACATCATCATCATCATCATCATCATCGTCATCATAATTATAATCATCACGTTCATCCTCATCATCATCATCATCATCAACATCATCATCAATCTCAAAATCATCATCATCATAATCATGATCATCATGATCATCATCATCAACATCATCATCATCATCATCATCATCATCATCAAAATCACGATCCTCGACATCATCAACGTCATCATCAACATCATCAACCTCATCATCATCAACACCACCAGCGTCATCATCATCTTCGTCACAATCGTCATCATCAGAAACACCAAAAATAACATCATCATCAATATCATCAGCAATATCATTATCTTTTTCATCGTCATCATCATCATCAGCAAATTCATCATCCTCATCCTCGTCATCAGCATCATCATCATCATTACATTCATCATAATCGTCAACATCATCAACATGATGGACCTCATAATTATCATCATCATCATCATCGTCATGATCATCATCATCACCATCTTCATCCTCCTCATCATCATCATCATCCGAATCATCATTATCATCATCATCATCATCATCAACGTCATCAACATCATCATTATCAGCATCACCACCGCCCTCATCATCATCATCATCATCATCATCATCATCATCATCATCATCATCGTCATAATCATCACCACCGTCATCATCATCATGATCTTTATCATCATCATCGTCATCCGAATCTTCTTCATCCGGATCATCATAATCTTCATCCGAATCATCATCATCATCATCGTCATCATCATCAAAGTGCGAGACATCGCATCATCAACATCATCATCATCATCATCATCATCATGATCATCATCATCATCATCTTCATCATCATCCGAATCATCCTTGTCAAATGCATCCGAATAATCATCCGAATCGTCATCATCATCAAAATATTCATGAACTTCATTGTCGTCATCACCCTTATTATCATCATCTTCCGAACCTTCATCCTCATTATTCGAATCGTTGTCGTCATCATCATCATCATCATCATCACCATAGTAATCATCATTATCATCAACTTCATTGTCATCATGATCATCATTATCATCGAAATCATCATCATCATTATCATCATCATCATCATCGTCATTATCATGCGAAACTTCATCATCAACTCCATCTTCATCATTACCGTCATCATCCGTATCATCAGCTTCATCACCATCATCGTCGTCATCATCGTCATCAACAAAAACATCATCCTCATCATCATGGTCATCCGAAGCTTCTTCATCCGAATCATCATAGTCTTCATCCGAATCATCATCTTCCGCATCATCGTCATCATCCCCTTCATAGCGATCTTCGTCATCATCATCATCAACATCCGAATTATCATCATCGGCGTCATGACCTCCATCCGTATCATCATGATCATCATCAGCAGCAGCAGCATCATCGTCCAAATCATCGTCACCAGCATCATCATCATTATCATCATCATCCATAAATTCAGCTTCATAACGATCATCATTATCAAAATCACTATTGTCATCATCACTAACATCCCAATCATCATCATCATTCGAATCATCATGATCATCCAGAGCATCAGCATCATCGTCATCACCACGATCATCCTGATCGTCCGGATCGTGATTACTAACAACTGCCTCTTTAGCATCATCATCTTCATCGTCACCATCATCATCACGTTAATCAGAATTAGAATCATCATCATAAATTTAATCGTCCAATTTAGCATCATCACAATCATCATCATCATCAATTCCATCATACGAATCATCGTCATCATAAGAATCATAACCTTATCCGAATAATCATCTTCCACATCACCATCATCATCATCAAATTGCGAGACATCCCATCATCATCATCATCATCATCATCATCATCATCATCCTCATGGTCATCCGAATCATCATGGTCAAAATCATCCGAATAATTATCCGAATCATCATCATCATCGAAATATTCATGAACTTGATCGTCGTCATCATCCTGATTATCATCATCTTCCGAACCTTCATCGTCATTATTCGAGTCATTGTCGTCATCATCATCATCATCATCATCATCATCATCCGAATAATCATCATCATTATCATCATCATCCTCCTCCTCTTCGAATGGTTATAATTATCATCAGCATCGTGATCACCATCATCATCTTCTTCATGTTCGTCATCGTCATCATCATCATCAACTTCATTCGTACCATCGTCATCCAAATCATCCTTTTCCGAAATCTCATCATTCTTCCCATCGCCGTCATCATCGTGATCATCACGGTCATCGTGATCATCCGAATCATCATCATTTTCGTCATCAACGTACTTATCATAATCACCATCATCATCATCATCATCAACATCACGATCGACATAAACATCATCATTCAAAACATCGGCAGCATCCTAAAAATTTTCAGCAACATCAACATCATCATCAACATCCGAGATATCATCATCATTCGAATCAGCAACATCTTCATTATCATCATCACCCGAATCATTAACCTAATCATTATCATCATCATCCTCATCAACGTCATCACCATCATCCCCCTCGCCATCGTCATCTAAATCCTCATCATCATTCGAATCAGCATCATCTTCGTCATCATCATCATCATCACAATCACCATCATCACCATCATCATTATCATCATGATCGTCATCATCGGAAACTTGAACACCAGAATGATCGTCTCATCCTCGTCCTCCTCATCAACATCACCATCATCATCCCAATCATCGTCGCCTTTATCATCTTCGGGATAATCATCCGATTCATTATCATCATCATCATCATCATCATCATCATCGTCTACATCATCCTTTTCGTCATCATCACGATTTTCGTAACAATCGTCATTATTAGAATCATCATACTCATCCGTATAATAATAATATTCACCATCATCAGCATAATCATCATCGCCGTCATTTTCGTCGTCATCGAATAAACATCATTTCCATCAGCATCGTGATCACCATCATCGTCATCTTCATCATCATCATAGTCATAACTATCAACATCACCTTCCGAATCATCATGATCAACATCATCATTATCATCACCACCATCATCATCGACATCATCAAAACCATTGGCAGCTCCGGAAACCTCAACATCATATTCATCTTTATCATCATCCGAAACGTTATCATCATCGTCATCCGAATCATACTGATCATTCCAATCGTCATCATCATCCTCATCGACGTCATCTTCATCATCATCACCGTCATCACCGTCATCCGAATCAGCCTGATTATCATCACCAACATCCTCATCATCCTCATCATCATCATCATCATCATCATCATAGTCATCATCATCATCGTCATCATCATCGTCGTCATCATCATCATCATCGTGTTCATCACCATCATCGTTATCTTCATCATCATCATCATGATGATCATCATCATCGTCATCATCATCATCATCATCATCTTCATCATCATCATCGTCATTATTATCACCATCATTTTCCGAATCATCATGAGCAACGTCATCATTAACATCATCACCATCATCATCATCATCGACGTCCGAATCATCAGCGTCATCATCACCATCATCCGAATAATCATCACCACCATCTTCATCATCATCATCATCCGCATCAACGGCATCATATTCATGCGACTCGTCATCATCATATGAATGATCATCGTCATCATCCTCAACATTTTCATCATCATCAAAGTCCTCATCATCCTCTTTCCATCCGGGCCATCATGCGAATCATCAACATCATCATCATTAAAAACGTCATCATCATTAACATCACCATCGTCGTCCTCATCAACATCTTCTTCATCTTCAGCATCATCAGCATCATTGTCAGCCGAATCATCATCCGAATCTTCATTATCCAATTCATCGGCATCATCATTATACGGATCATCATCATCTTCGTCATTATCAAAATCATCATTAAATTCCTCATCATCATTGTCTTCATCTTCATCCGAATCATCATCCGAAAAATCATCAATTGAAACATCATCAATCTTAAGTTCATCATCATCATCAACAACGTCATCATCATCATCATCCGAGTCAACACCATCATCGTCATGATCCGAATCATCATTATCATCCCAATCATCATCATCATCATCATCATCATCACCATCATGATCAACAACACCATCATCTAACGAATCATCATCATCGTCATCATCAACTTCATCATCATCATCATCATCATCATCTTCATCATCATCATCATCATCATCACCGTCATCATCATCCTTATCAACATCCCCTTCATCTGCACCATCATCGTCATCATCATCATGAACATCGTGATCATCATCACCATAATCATCCGAATGATCCATATCATCACCATCCGAATCATCAGCATTTTCATCACCGTCATCATCGTCGTCATCCAAGCCATCGTCATGACCCTCTTCATCATCATAATCATGATAATTCGAGTCATCATCATCATCAGTTTGTTTATCACCACCATCAGCAAAAACATCTTCATCATCTTTATCACCATCATCATCATCACGATCCGAATAATCGTAATCATCGTCATAATCATCATCAACATCGTCATCCCATCATCCAAATCATCATTATCATCACCATCACCAGCATCATCATCAAAATAATCATCGTCATGTTCATCGTCCTCATGATCATCATCATCATCCGAATCATTGTCATGATAATCGTCATTATCATCGTCATCGTCTTCATCAATTAGGTCATCATCATTATCATCCGAATCATCAGCGTCATCCGAATCACCATTCTAATCAACATTGCCATCATCATCTTCATCATCATCATCATCGTCATCGACCACCGCTACATCATCATCATTATCGATAGCATCTTCGGCTTCCGAATTCTCAAGATCATGATCATCCGAATCATCATCATCGTCATCATCGTCATCATCGTCATCATCATCAACATTATCATCATCATCCACATCATCGTCATCGTCATCAACGTCTTCATCCTCGTCATTCGAATCATCCTCATGACCCCCTTCGTCATCACAATCATCTTGATCCGAGTCATCGTCATCATCCGATTCACCATCATCATCATCAACAAACTCGTCTTCATCATCTTTATCACCATTATCATCATCATCATTATCCGATTAACCATCATCATCATCATCATCATCACCATCATCATCATCATCATCAAAATGTTTATCAACATCGTCATCCGGATAATCATCATCATCATCACCATCATCATCATCCGAATAATCATCATCATATACATCGTTCTCGTTATCAACATCATTTTAATCACCATCCGAATCATCATCATGGTCATCGACATCATCATCGTCACCGTCATCAGCATCCACATCATGATCGTCATCATGCGCGTCATCACCTTCATCCGAATCATTATTCGAATTAACACTACCACCATCATCATCATCATCATCATCGTCATCATCACAATCATCATCATCCTCCGGGACATCATCATCATCAATACCACAACATCATCATCATAATCGAAATCGTCATCGACATCCGAATCATCATCATCATCATCATCATCCGAATCATGCTCATCGTCATCATCCGAATCATCATCATCATCATCATAATCATCATTATCATCATCATCATCATCACCATCATCGTCATCATCAACTTCACTTTCCCATTCTTCATCATCCACTTCTGGTTGTCATCGTTATCATCTTCAAAATCCGAATGATCACCATCATCCAATTCATCGTCAGAATCACCATCATATTCGTCGTCATTATCTTGATCCCCATGATCGTCATCGTCATCCGGATCATCATCATCATCATCATCGCGTCATCATCATCATCAGCATCCGAATCATCATTCGTATCCTCATTATCGTCGTCATCGTCATCAGCATTTTCATCATTATCATCATCATCATCATCATTGTCCGAATCATTATCATCGTCCGAATCATCATCCTTATCCTCATAATAATAATCATCGTCATCAACATTATCATCATCATCATCCTCATCAACATCGTCATCATCATCATCATCACCGTCAACCGAATCATCATCATCATCATGATGGTCATCACATCATCATCTATATTATCGTCCTCCGAGTCATCACCATCATCATCATAATCATCATCATCATCATCATCATCATCATCATCATCATCATCATCATCATCATCATCATCATTATCACCATCATCAACATTATCCTCATCATCATCATCATCTTCATCAGAGTCAGCGTCATCCGAATAATCAGCATCATCCGAATCATCATCATCATCCGAGTCATCATCATCATCATCATAAAAACCTTATCGGCATCGTCATCCTATTCGTCATCCAATTCATCATCATCATCTTCATCATCATCATCATCTTGCGAATCATCCTCCACATCAACAACGTCTTCATCATCATCATCATCCGGATCGTCATCATGATCCTCGTCATCACCATCATCATCACCATCAGCATCCGGATCATCATCTTCATCATCATCATCATCATCATCATCATCTTTCGGCTCATCATCATCCCAATCCTCACCATCATCTACAATGCCATCATCACAATAATAATCATCATACATAATCAACAGCCTTATCAATATCATAATCATCGTAATCATCATCAGCAGCAGCAGCATCATCAACATCATCATCATCATCGTCAACATCATCATCACCATCCGGATCATCATGATCGTCATCGGAATCATCATCTAAATCATCATAATCCGAGTCATCATCATTATCCGAGACAACATCGTCATCTTCGTCACCAAAATCCTTATCGGCTTCGTCATCCGAATCGTCATGCGAATCATCATCATCGTCCTCATTTTCAACATCATGATCCGAATCATCATCACCATCATAATCATCATCATCATCATCCGAATCATCATCATGCTCCTCATCATCACCACCATCATAATCAACAATATCATCATCATCATCATCATCATCTTTAACACCGTCATCCGAATCATCATCATCAGCATCACCATATCATCATCTTTAACACCGTCATCCGAATCATCATCACCGTCATCATCATCCTTATCAACATCCCCTTCATCTGCACCATCATCGTCATCCTCGTCATGAACATCGTGATCCTCATCACCATAATCATCTGAATCGTCATCATCATCACCATCCTAATCATCTGCATTTTCATCACCACCATCATCGCCGTCATCCGAGTCATCGTCATGACCCTCTTCATCATCATAATCAACAAAATCGTCTTCATCATCTCTATCACCATCATCATCATCATGATCCGAATAATCATCATCATCATCATCATCATCATCATCATCCGAATCATCATCATCATCATCATCATCATCATCATCATCATCATCATCATCATCATCATCCGATTCATCATCATCATCATCATCATCAAATTTTTTTTTCAACATCGTCATCCGAATCATCATCATCATCATCATCAACATCGTTATCATCAAAACAATCCTCATCATATTCATCGTCCTCATTAGCATCGTCATCCGAATCATTATCATGATAATCGTCATTATCATCGTCATCGTCTTCATCAATGAGATCATCGGTATTATCATCCGCGTCATCACCGTCATCCGAAACATCTTTCGAATGAACATTACCACAATCATCATCATCATCATCCACATCGTCATCCACCACCGCTACATCATCATCATTATCGAAGTCATCATCGGATTCCGAATCATCATCACCATGATCAGCATCATCCGATACATCATCATCATCTTCAACATCATCCTCATCCGAGTCATCGTCATCATCATCAAAAGATTTATCAACATCGTCATCCGAATCATCATCATCATCACCACCATCATCATCAGAACAATCATCATCATATTCATCGTCCTCATTATAATCATCATCCGAATCATCCTCATGATCATCGTCATCATCTTCGTCCTCTTCATCAGCATCCACATCACAATCGTCATCAACCGCGGCATCACCTTCATCCGAATCATCCTTCGAATAAACTCTACCTCCATCATCATCATCATCATCATCATCATCGTCATCAATATCATGATCGTCCCAGACATCATCATCATTAGCGAAATCGTCATCGGCATCCGAATCGTACTCACCATCATCATAATCCAAATCATCATCATCATCATCCGAATCATGCTCATCGTCAACATCATCAGCATCATCATCATCATCCGAATCATCAACATCATCATCAACATCCACATCATCATCATCATCAACATCATCATCCTCATCATCGTCTTCACTATCCCATTCATCATCATGATCTCCGTGATCGTCATCGTCATCATCATCATCATCCGAATAAGCAACATCATCCGATTCATCAACAGCATCACCATCATAAACGTCGTCGTTATCCTAATCTTCACGATCGTGATCTTCATCCGAATCATCATCAACATCATCCGAATCATCATCCTTATCCCCATTATCGTCGTCGTCACCGTCATTGTCCGATTCTCCATAATCGTCCTAATCCTCATCCTTATCCTCATTATCATGCTCATCGACATCAAAACTATCATCATCGTCACCATCATCATCAACATCACCATCATCACTCGATTCATTTTCACCCTTATAATCATCATCATCATCATCCGAATCATTATCATGATCCTCATCGTCATCATCATCATCGTCATCTTCATCTTCATCATCATCATCATCATGATCATCACCATCAGGATCATCATCATTCTTATCATCATCATCAACAACATCATCATCATCATCATCATCATCATCAACTTCATCCTCATCATCAACATCATCTTCAGCATCATCATCATCATTCACCATCATCATCATCATAAACATCATCATTACCATCATCATCAACATTGTCATCATGATCATCATCATTATCATCAGAATCATCATCATAAACATCTTCATTATCTTCAACCGTGTCATCTCTTCCATCCGATTCATCGTCATCATCATCATCATCATCATCGTCATAATCATCATCCGAATCATCCTCACCATCAATAACGTGTGCATCATCATCATCATCCGAATCACCATCATGATATTCTGCCTCCTCCTCCTCCTCCTCATTACCATCATCACCGTCATAATCATCATCNCATCATCATCATCAGCATCATCATCATCATCATCATCATCATCATCATCATCATCATCATCATCATCATCATCATCATCATCATCAACATCATCATCATCATCATCATCATCATCATCTTCATCATCATCACCATTATCCGAGTCGAGATCCTTGTCATCATAAACAAAATCCTTATCAGCATCGTTATCCGAATCATCATCATCATCCTCATTGTCATCTTTATCATCCGAATCATCATCACCGTCAGCAACAATAGCAACAAATCCTAATGATCAGAAACGTCATCATCCTCATCATCATCGTCACATCATCGTCCAAATTGTCGTCGTCCGAATCATCACCATCACCATCATCATCATCGTAATCATCATCATCAGCAGCAGCATCATCAACATCATCATCATCATCGGCAACCTCATCATCACCATCCGAATCATATTGATCTTCATCGGAGTCATCATCTAAATCACCATCTTCCGAGTCATCTTCATCATCCGAGAAAACATCGTCATCGTCATCAGAAAAATCTCTATCAGCTTCCTCATCCGAATCGTAATGCGAAATATCATCATCAATCTTATTTTTACCATCATCATCCGAGTCATCCAAGTCATCACCATCTTCTTCATCATCATTATCATCATCATCATTATCATAAAGATCATCATCCGATTCATCATCCAAAACATCATCATCATCATCATCATCATCATCATCATTCGAATCATCCTCATCATAATCATCCTGCGAATCATCATCATTGTACTCCTAACCAACATCTCCATCGTCATCAATATAATAATCATCATCATCAAGGTAATCATCATTCATGTGACCATAAACATCAGAATCATCATCCGAATTATCATCATCATCATCATCAACATCATGGATCGATTCATCATAATCATCATCCTCATAATCATCATCGTCATCGGCACCATCATCAACATCATCTTCATCAAAATCCGAATGATCAACGTCATCCGATTCATCATCATTATCATCATCTTAATCCTCTTCATTATCTTCATCCCCATGATCGACTTCCCCATGCGAATTCTCATCCGAATCATCATGATCATCATCGTCATGCGAAACGTCATCATCATCAACATCATCATCATTATCATCATCGAATCATCATCATTTTCGTCGTCCGCATCACCATCATTATAATCCGAATCCTCATCATCATCGAAATCATCATCATCAGCATCATCATCCGAATCATCGTATGCATCCGAATCGTCATCATCATGATCATCACCTTATTCCATATCAGCTTCGTCATCAGAACCGCAATCCGGAACATCATCATCGTCCACATCATCATCATCATCATCATCATCCGAATCCTCATCAATATCATCAGAATCATAATCGTCATCATCATCATCATCATCATCGTCATCATCATCATAATCCGAATCAACTTCATTATGCGATTTATCAATATCCTCTTCATCATCATCATTATCCTCATCATCATCATCATCATCATCTCCCTCCAAATCATCATGTTCCTCAACTTATTCATCATCGAAGTCATGATCATCTGGGTCGTTCTCATCCTCCCAGTGAACATCATCATCACCAAAGTCCTTATCAGCATCGCCGTCCGAATATTCATCATCATCATCATCAGGAAAAACTTCATCATCATCAGCATCAGAATCATCATCATCATTTTCATCATCTTTATCCGATTCTTCATCATCCCATTCATCTGATCATTATCATCATCAAAATCCTTAGCAGCATCCTCACGCGAATCGCCATCCCAATCATCATCATCATCGTGCGAATCCTCATCACCATCAAAAACGTCTTTATTATCATTATCATCCGGCTCATCATCATGATCCTCAACGTCACCAACATCGTAATCATCTTTACCATCGTCATCATCATCACCATCATCATCCGAATCATCGTTATCAACATCATCGTCCCCATCAGCATCGTCGCAATCACCACCATCATGTACGCTGTCATCATCATAGTAATCATCATCATACATAAGCACCACCCTTATCATCATCATCATCAACTTCATCATCATCATCATCATCATTATGATCATCATCATCTTCATCATCAAAATCATCATCATCTTCACATCATCATCCTTATTATCGTTCTGCGAAACATAACCATCATCATCATCATCATCATCATCAACGTCATCATCATGACCATCAGCATGAGAATCATCATCATCGTCAACTTCATCAACTTCATCCTATTCAACATCATCATCCCAGTCATCATCATCATTATCATCATCAAATTCTTTATCAGCATCCTGGCCCGAATCGCCGTGCGAATCCACAGCATTGCCATCATCATCATAATCATCATCGTGGGAATCATCATCACCATCAAAAACGTCTTAATCATCATCATCATCCGGCTCATCATCATGATTCTCATCATCCCCAACTTCGTAATCATCATTATCATAATC